GGACCTGGCGGAGCAGCGCGGGCATCTACTCCAGCTGCAGCCGTATCCCGATGGCGAGCCCGCCGAGGCCGGCGATGGCCCCAAGATGACCTATCGAGACCATGTCGTCAAGGAACTAGTCGACACCGAACGCAAGTACGTTCAGGATCTGGAGAACCTGCACGATCTGAAAAAGGCCCTGGAGCAGAAAGGGGTTATTCCCGGCGACGTCGTCCACCAGATCTTCCTCAACATCAACTCCATCCTCGACTTTCAGCGCCGCTTCCTGATCCGCGTCGAGACCACAAACTCCATGCCTGCCGCCATCCAGCGATGGGGCCAGCCCTTTGTCACGCACGAGGAGTTTTTCAGCATCTACCAACCCTTCATCGCCAACCAGCGAAAAGCGGCGCAGGTCGCCAAGGAGGTATTTGACCAGATTCAGCTCTCTGACCACCCTGTCGCCGCCGACTTCAACACATTGGATGGTTTCCTGCTGAAGCCCATGCAGCGACTTGTCAAGTATCCGCTGCTGCTCAAGGTATGTGGCCTTGCTGGTGTCTGAGCCATCTGCATCACTACCGTGTACTGACTTTGCAAACCAGGACCTTGCCAAGAAGACGGAAGACGCAGAGACCAAGGAGGATCTCCTCGCCGGCTGCGAGGCTGCCGAGCGCGTTCTCCAGAAAGCAAACGAGGCCGTTAACCGCGACCTTCTCGACGATGCGCTGGAAGAACTCATTGTTCGAGTCGACGACTGGAAATCGCACAAGATCGAATCCTTTGGAAAGCTGCTATTGCATGGCATCTACGGTGTCATCACTGGAAAGAGTGAGCAGGAGAAGGACGTATGTTTAGCCACATGTTTCCCGTTCATTGGTTTTCCTTTCGGCAGAGAGCTAACGAAGCCTGCAGTATGAGATTTATCTCTTCGAATGCATCTTGCTGTGCTGCAAGGAGATATCACCAAACAAAAGCAAGGACAAGAAGGACAAGGCCCGACAGCAAGGCCCAAAGACGAAGAATAAGAATGCTAAGCTGCAACTCAAGGGCAGAATCTTCATGACCAACGTCACCGACGTTGTATCATTATCAAAGCCTGGTTTGTAACGACCCTTGCCACAGAAAAAGCCTCCCCCTCGTTCTATTGGCATCTATAGCTGACCTTGCCCCCCCTTTTTTCTTGCCGGCTTCAGGCTCCCATAGTGTACAGATCTGGTGGAAAGGCGACCCGGGGGTTGAAAACTTCACCATCAAGTTCCTCACCGAGGAGATGATGAAGAAGTGGGCCACCGGCCTGGAGACGCAGCGTAAGGAGAATGCGCCCAAGCTGGCTGCCAGCCCGGCAGACGACCCGACCGATTTCGCTTGGACGCGAGACAATGCCGGCGGGCTTGAGAACCCTTATCTGCAGCAGGAAGACGATGACGATGACGACATCGGACCCGCGACTGCTCCCGCCCAGTTCCCGATGCCAGCGTCCTCGTTCGGAGGTGCCATCCCCCGTACAGCTTCAAGCTCCAACCTGAGAGAGCTGCGGCAGCGCTCGGTAACCGCAGAGACGTCGGCGACGCTGGCTAGCATCGCGAGGGCCCCCCCGCCGCGCTTCCCGATGCCGATGCCACCACCGCCCCCGGTAGCCCCCCTCAGCCTGCAGACGGCAAGCACCATGTCCATTCCCTCGCCGGGATTCCGCGGAGGGGACAGCTACTTCTCTCCCATCGGCGACTCGCCGGCATCTTCCCGAACCAGCACGACCAGCGGCATGTTCCCGCCGACCAGCTACCCGTTCCCCAAGTCAGGGACGCCCCAGCCCGGATGGGACGAGAACAACCGGTACACGGCACCAGCGATGCCCCGGGCCCCGTCTCGGGACGGCACGCCGCCCAACGTCTATCCGAACGGTCGGAATCCCCGTGGGCCGTCTCTCCCTCCCATGTCGACCCAGAGTGGCAACAGCAGCCTCAGCAGCCTCAACAACCTCAACAACTTGAACAACCTCAACAACAACCTCAACAACCTCAGCCTAAAGGACAGCAACGCTGCTGCTGCCGCTGCCGCCGCCGCTGCCGCCAACGGATCGCAACGGAGCCGCTCGTACAGCACGCCCGACGTGAATGCCCAAGGCCAGCGACGGCAGCCCAGCCAAAGCAACATCCCCGCCGTCCCCGGCATCCCTCTGCATCTCCACCCCGCCCACGACAGCTCCATCCCGAGATCCCAGACCGGCTCGCCCCGAAACGATGCGCCAGCACCAGGACGGACGAACACGCAGAGCCCCGGCGCCCCAGGCGTGCGGATGCACAAGCACTCTCACTCGGGCAGCATGAGCGGCAGCACGGGCGGCACAATGGCTCAGTTCCCTACCCAGCCCATCTATCCTCGGCAGAATACACCGGGACCTGCGATTGGCGCCAACGGAACGGCAGGCTCAAGGACCGTATCGCCCTCCGCCGCCCTCTCTCAAGGCATGCTTGCCCATCACGGCATGATTCCCCAAGGCATGATGCCTTCGACGATGGGTGCCGGAATCCCAAACATGCCAGGCATGCCACAGAACCCGACTCAGATCACGAGCCCCGACGTGGCCATGCCGACGCAGCTCAAGGTCCGCGTCACCTGCGATACTGGAAACTACATCACGCTGGTCGTTGCCTTCAACATTACGTATCAGTCCCTGGTTGATCGGATCGATGCCAAGCTAGCGAGGTTCACGAGCAGCAGCATTGCGCAGGGTGCGTTGAAGCTGCGCTACCAGGACGAGGACGAGGACTTTGTCACCATTGAGAGCGACGACGACATCCAGATTGCCTTTATGGAGTTCCGCGACGGCATGAAGAACGCGTTCAACGGTGGCGTAGGAGAGATAGAGCTTTTCTGCGTCGGCGAAATGGCGCCTTGAGCCGAATCGCCCCCTCGACAATTTCCCTCCTGACCCCTTATATCCTAGACGGAGCACCTGCCGGGATTGGCAACATACCTACTCTCTATCCACAGGCTGCCGAGAGCATTCGCGTGTTTTGGTGTATAGAGCCATTGCATAGCCAAGTCTTTTTCTGTTTTGTTTTTCTTCTTTTCTTTTTATCCACATTAGAGAGGCACGAGTTGCCATCATATTGACGACGGTTCAAGGCCCCCTACAAAAGATACCTCATCATATAGACACGACACCACACGACATGTGCAATCATGACCAGTTCTACTTATTGAAATTTTATTATCCTCAGACTCCCACTCTGGTCGCTCCTTTGCACTATCCTTCCCGCTGCCGATGGCCCGTTTTCCTTGCTCCGTTTTGCACACCGCAACCGCTGGGCTCGAACCTGAAAGAAGAAAAGAGGCGAACTGAAGCAAAAGATGTCAGATTGGCTTATGCGATGGAATATACATCTCCTTTACAACACCGCCGGCATTCTCCTCAGAATGCATCAGAACACAGATTTAGCGAGAACAAGCTATCCTGGACGGTGTCTCACCGATACACTCCTTTATCTTTTCTTTACCATGTCTTCTATCTTCATCCCTCTACACCGACTTTTATTTGGAAAACACCATGTTCAGTTTAAACCAACAGTTATCGAGTTTCCTTTACCTACCATTTGTTTTCTTCTTTTATCGTGGGATCATATGGCGCTAGTGGAAACAAACTCGGGGGGAGTTGGGGGGAGGGAATGAGGAGGCTGCCCGCACTTTGTCTGCCGGCCAACTCTCCTCTCCGCCTCTTGTTTGCCCCTTTTTTCTTTCCTTGTTGGGTGGGTGACTTTGTTCTTTTGTCTAAGTCTTTTCATGCGTGCTGCTTGTTCTTGGCCAATGACATTTGGTTAGTATCAGTTTCAGTGTGTCTTTTTTGCCGTCTTTTTTGCGTGCTTTCTTGCGTTTTGTTTGTTTCCAGTTGAGATGATGGGGAAACTTTTATCTATTTTTTTGTCTTTGTTGGATGCGATTTTGGTGATTGGGTAGTATTTGGATAGACCGAGGGAGGACAGTGCAAACAGAGATGGTTGATGAAAAAGTGTTGCTTGGTCCTTTTTGCTCGTGCTTGTGATGTGGCTGAGAAAGTGAATCGGAGAGAGTGTAAATGAGCGAGTGTGCGTGTCAAGTTATTGTTGTGGAGGCTGCCTTGTGAAGCCATCTCTATGAGAGTCGGGTGATTTAGGATATCTTTCATGTTGCGGACATGAGGATGAAGCGTGATTTCGACTCGTCATGCGGCACGAGGTACCTAGACCATACTGCTCGTCATCAAGTATGTAGGTACTAAAGATACCATAGTTGATCATAAGCGGCGAGGACTGTTGGGATATAGATGTTGATGTTCTCAAGACATCTTTCATTGTATCTTGCTATTCATACATGCCTTCTAAAACCCCTCTCCAACTTTTTCCTTTATCAGGTTTGTACGATTTTCCCCCTCTGTCCAAAGCCAAGTGATAATAGTACATTTTCCGTCCCCTTGTTACCTTTGAGATATCATCAAACATTTCCAAAATAACCAAACGCCCAATTTTCATGAGAATCAAAAGTCCTCCCTGCCTTTTCCCCCGCTACTTTTTTCTCCTGTCTCAAAGAACATATGCTCCTTTGCTTTTTTGGGGTTGCTCGCTGCATCGTCGAAGATTTGTCCTCCAAGGGGGAGAGAGGGGGGGGGTTTGCTGTCTGTGAGAAGTAGTGCCGCTTAGAGCTCTCCGTGAAGACCTTCTTTGTTTTCCGCCGGATTCGACAAAGACTGGCCCATTGCGAGAAAATTGCATCGGCAGCTCGACTTGCCCTCTCCAGTCATTCCTCCAGGACGAACCTCGGTTTCAAGCGCAAAATATACCGACGTGGCACCCCAACTCCCCAGATCTCTCCATTTCGCTTCCCATGCAAGAGAAAACAAGAAGCTCCCCACCCCTAAACTCGGAGCAGAGAGACTCTTTCTCTGTCTTCACAACCCCCCCAGGATTTTGCTCATTCCCAGGTCCAGATCGTCGATTCGCTCGGTTTCGTTTTCGTTTACATGTTTTTTTTTCTTTCTTTCTTTATTTTTGCTTCTTCTGGCTGGTGACGTACTTTTGCATCCGCGACAAGTGGTAGTTGATCGTGTTCGCCGGCGCAGGCGGAGGCGGCGGGCCGTCCATGCACTTGCGCAGCTGGTTCTCGATGGCGGCGCATCCGGCGGCGTTGTAGCCTGCCGAGGCCCAGCATGCTATTCACACACACAAATAGGTTAACACTTCTTCTTCTTCTTCTTTCTTTGTTCTCTTTTTCGTTGCCTCTTGAACTCTTCGGGGAGAGGTGGGCGCATACCGAGAACGCTGGACATGATGGCGATGCAAGGGTTTTCGGGCTGCCGCTTGGGATTGTGGACGCGCAGCGTTTTCAGCGGCGGGAGACGGATTGCCTTGGCGCCCCCGGACATGTTGGACGAATTGGTGCCGTAAGGAAGAAAGATTGAGAGGGGGGGGGGAAGGAATTGGGAAGTTCGCTGAGGTTTTGGGGGGGGGCCTTTTGGTGTTTGGTTGGAACGACAACTTTTGGAGATGCTAATGGATGAGAAGCTTCAAGTTCGAGAGGTGGGGGTCACGGGAGTGGGCACGTGACTCTTGTTCTTCGGCTTGGAGATGCTTGTGATAGTAAGGTATGAGCTGATGTGATTTGCTTTAAAGGTTTCTTTTGTCGATTTGTTTCTTCTGAAACTTGATAATATAAATAACTTCTATTGAGTTCAACGTCATGATGATTGTGCACGCCCTTGGTCAAGACTACGATGTTACCATCTGGTTGCTCGTAGCTCGTCGTCAATGGTTCCTTGATGTCTTCTCTCCAACCCACGATAGTCTACATTCACTCCTCTACCAGCGTCTTACCTTATGCTCCCTCGATAAGCCCCCAGTCCGCATACCCAGGCGTCCTCTCCAATGCTCCATCCAGTTCAACGACCTGATCCCGAGACTGCAACTCGTCAACGCATCGTCACAAGCGATTCAAGACTGTTTATTTCTAGCATCATCGTCCATCCTACACGTTACCCAAAGCCCGTCGTGGCTCATTCACGCCCAGCCTCGCATTGATACATTTCTATTTCGCCCGCATCGCCTTCCGTAAACGGGCTTTTGCTCTTCGTTCAGTCGTCTCGTTCCCGTCAGATCAACATAGGGGGTATAACTCATCCCGTATCCTTCCCAGCGTAGCATAACAATGAAATAAGCAAGAAATTGAACCATGTCAAGAAAAAAAAAGAAAAAGATGTGACAAAGTTGACCCGACCAGCATGCGTTGTAGCATTTCCCACCATATGATGATTTCCCCCAAAACTCCGATATAAACTCCGACGCCAAGTGCCAAGGCAATGCACTCGCACGACGATGACTGGCATATCAAACAAACCAGATACAAGTGCGCATCTTCATCAATCAAAGGTGCCAATCCGCGGCCCAAAGTACTCGCCCGGCGCAAGATGCTTCAGCGTGCACGCCTGGCCCTCGCAGCCCATGTCCGACGCCGTATTCCCCCACCAGCGGAACGGAACGTCGGTGTATTGCAGGGAAAAGAAGATGATGATGCCCGAGATGGCGATGCCGCACGACCAGGCCGCCGAGAGGACAAAGTTGTACTGCATTCAGTCAGTCAAGTGAACCTCGTACACCGGAGCGCGGCGTGAGAGTTTAGAAGGGAGAGAGCTGCTTACCTTTGACCAAAAGGACACAAAACGAGTCTTGAGATAGACCCACGAGATCCAGGCAATCGGCACAGACGGCCACACATACGACATGTTGTACGGCGCCCACACGATTCCGCCGTACATGATGGCCACTGGATGGATCTGCCGCGTCCAGGTCCACTGGGGAAACTTTCTGTTCAGCCCCCAGAAGAAGACGACCACGAGAATGCCCAGGGGAAACCCGACAAGAATCTCCGTGTACTGGCCAGAGTGGCCGAAAATCTTCTGCGGACCAACCGTTCCCCACAGGACAGAGGCAGTGAAGAAGGTGTTGACACCGGGGCAGGTGAGCTTGAACTGGGCATCGGGCGTGCAGACGCCATCGATACCCTTCATCTGGAAGTTGAGAACGCCGGTGCAGATGATGGTGCTGATAAAGGTGGCAATGATCTGGGCGATGAAGGTGTGGCGAGGGGGGATCTTGACGTAGTGGGCGAGCTTGAGATCGTTGCAGAACCACACGGCGTGCGCGCAGGTGACATAGCCAAAGGACTTGAAGTAGTTCATGGCCAGCGCATTGCCGTCGACCCAGGATCCGCCAATGAACTCGGCCAGCACGTTGAGCGTCACCTCGATGCCCGTCATGGCCTTGATGATGCCCACCGGAATGACAAAGACGATGCAGAGCGCCAGGCCATAGAACACAACGCCGGGAGACGTGTTCGTGTCCCACCCAGCAATGCCGGCAATTCCCAAGGCAATGGCAACCACGAGACAGATCAGGTACCACCACTCGGGCACCTCCGGGTATGCCTTCATCAGCCGGTTGTGGACGTCGAGGATCTTTTCGTCCTTGATCGGGTTCGTCTTCTTGCGGAAGCTGGCGAATAGAGACTTGAAGCCCATGATGATTTCGTGGCGGTGGTAGAGCACGGCATAGGTCAGGGTAGACGTGTAGATGGCGAAGAAGAACATGTAGATGACAATGTTGCCGGCGCTCAGAAAGGGGGGCGAGTACGTCTTGTACTCTGTGGCGTTGAACAGCCCCCGGTCGTCGACGGCGCGGCTAATGTTGTACAGCTTGCCAAAGTGGTCAAACACCCGGTTGCTGTTGATGGGGAGATAGCCAGTGTCGTAAACGTTGCTGTACCAGAAGGCGAGGACCACCCAGAACGAGACAAAGACGCCAAAGAATCGGTTCAGCGTGCTGTAAAAGGGTACCATGAGGGGGTCGGCCGAGTCCCACAGCAGCACGTTCCAGTCAAAGGTCGGGAACGGGTTGACGCCCAGGCCATGGTTGATGCCCGTGATGACGTTGAGGTCGCGGTTGTGGGGGGCGATCCAGGTCAACCAGTTAAACCTGGACAAGGCAGTGAAGATGTAGTTGGGGAACCAGAACCAGACGAACATGGCGCCGAACATGATGTAGAAGAACTTGATGCGAGAAATCTTCCACTTCTTGCCAAAGGGGCCCTCGACCGGGGCATTGGACTCGTTGTGGAAGGCCTTGTTGAGGGCAATGGTCACCAGCGAAGCCGGCCACACGCAGTACGATGGGTAGACCAGAAAGCGGCGACAGATGCCCGCCATGCCGTATCCGATAAAGTTGGTGGCCAGGGCAATGAGAAGCTGATAGGCCACATGGGACGCATAGGGCTGGTTAAAGTACTGGGGCAGATACTGGACCCAGATGATGTTGTTTGTGTAGGGCGTGTTGTAGGCCACGTTGGCCATGATGGTGATGAGCATGTGCTCCTTCTTCGAAAAGGGCCCGGGGTTGAGGGAGTGGTATGTGCCAAAGAGAGTGAAGCCGACGTCCGGCAGCCAGTTCTCACAGGCCTTGCCCACGGGGTAGGACAGCAGCTGCGCAACGTTGGCCATGACGCGGATGGCGGGCTGGCGAATGTCGAACAGCTGGTTGATAAAGGCCAGCAGGCAGCTAAAGGCCAGGCCAATGGCCCAGCTGCGGATGGTTGAGCAGGGCGTTGTGGGATCGTCCTTGTTGCTGACGACTGCGCGCACCTCGGCATACGGGCTGTTGCTGGTGACAAGGGCGGCTTCCAGCTTCATCTCCTGGATCAGGTGCTGGTGCTTCTCGGGGTTTGAAAAGACGGATTCATTCTCGAGAAAGGCCTTGATCTTGTGGATGATTATGGACGGGAAGTTGTGGTCTTTTTCGTGGACACGGTAGACTCGGGTCATGATGTCGCGGACTTCCTGGAGGGTGAATCGGGAGGCGAGCTCCTGGGCCTCGAGCAGGTCATCTTCGGTGACGTTGAGGTCGTGCTCGGTGGTGTTTTGCGGAGAGCAGTAGTCGCGGTCGTCTTCGTCGTAGGAAAAGGGCTCCTGAGAAAGGACGCACGAAAGAGTCAGCGCCTAGTCGCAACTCACTGAGAAAGTAGAATGAAGCAGAGGTCGTCATAGAACGCCATTCAGGCAAAAGTAGGCAAAAGTACGGAGGGGGAGGGGGTGAGGGGAGATGTTGAAGAGTGCCGAGAGAAGCACGGCGGAGGTCTCAAGAGCCAGCAGAGGCGAACGACGGTGCAATGGCAGCCATTCAACCCATGGCAGGTCTTTTTAATATTCCATCTTCCAACCCTGGCGGCAATGCTTCACTGCGTCTCATTCTGCGATACAGCCCGCGCCGCAGAGACATGCAACAAACCACCGTCGCCACCACCACCTCCAATATGAATATAGCCGGCGCAAAGCAGAGACAAGGCAGCGTTGGCTGAGGCGTCCTTACCGAAACAACGTCCTTGATCGTGTCGTCGACGATGGACGGGCGAGAGGAATTGGGCGACATCTCGGCCACCCCGCCAGTGGCAGCGGCCTTTTCGTCGTCGCTCATGACCATCGATCAAGACAAGGAGGAGCCCGAGCCGGAAGAGCGACGAGGCGGAACGACGCTCTTCGCTCTCGGTCTCTCGATTCGGGCAGGGAGAGAGAGAGAGAGACGGAGGGAGGGAGGGGCGACGTTGGAGGCCGGCGAGGCCAGTCGGACAGGGCAACGAAGCAGCGGAGGGGGGGAGAATGGCCGAGGCTGGAAGAGACTGATGGCTGGCTGAGGGAGAGCCAAGAGGGAGGGAGGGAAAAAAAAGAAAAAGACGAGATGTATCAAGGCAAGGCGGACGAAAAGACGCCAACGCAGACGCAGGGACGGGATGGCGGCGTCTGGGGGGGAAGTGCGGGCGCTGCCTTAGCGGGCTTGGGGACCTCTCGGGGGCTTCTGGGGCTGTTCCAGCGGCTGCCGTGCGCTGAGGGCGCTGGCGGCTCTGGGGCTACAGGCGGTGGCAGGTACTCCGCAGGTACTGCCGCCAGCCCGGGACCTGGGCCGTCACCTGGGCCGCGGCAACATGGAACGGCTGGAGCAGAGAGGGGCAGGACTGGATGAGAGGGAGAGGGCACCCAAGGATGGATTGGTCGGAAGTCTTTCGGGTCGCAATCTGGGACCGGCGGTACCTGGGCGGTACTTTCTTCTGGCAGCCGAGCTCCAGGGCAGTCCACCTCATTGAAAAGGTTGATTGCAACATTGAACCCGGAATCACCAACCTCACCTCTCACTCATCAGATTGGCGAACGGCACACTTGGCATTGCAGACACTTGCCGGATCAGGTACATTGCGAAGGGCCTTTTCTCACGAGCGTATGCACGTACATGTACTGCGACTGTCACTCTCGATCGAAAATTGCTGCGCCTCAATGGCTGGATGGGGGGAGGTAGACGGTACTTGAACTTGCATCATCTCACGATGGCATCTTGGCGCCCAAACCGGGACCTCGAAGGTTGCGGCTACAAGATGCCGGTTGGTGCTAACGGTTTTGGTGCGGCATCGTGGGAGAAGTCAACAGCCATCAAAGCACATGTGAACATGCTATGTATTACAACTCAATGCCCTGTTACGCTGCCCTTTTGCATCTTCCTTATCATTTCACACCTTACCTAGACTTCGATCAGCCAGTATCAGCCCTCCTCTGGAATCACCATGGGTTCAAGTTGTCATATTAGTAGGTAGTTGGCGTGGCCCGAGGATGCAGACAACAACCACCTGCACTTTTGGGCCCTTTCACCATGTATCACCAATTTTTACAGCTCTTCACTCCATCTATCATTTTTCGTCTTTCCATTTTTCTATTTTCAATGTCCCAATCCTTTCCCTTTTCTGCCGTGTGACCCCCCTAAGCTCTCCCATCGTCTGTGCTGCTCCTCAAACGGCAAAATCGGCTCCTGTCTGCTCATCCCTAGTGGCGAGATGGTCCGTCACGCCTCTCCACTGACATCGAGAGCGTTGCATCGTCTATTCTTTCAGCTGCATGTTCTAAATCTGCTGGCTTCCATGTTGCCATCGATGAAGCATGCATACACGAATACTACTGTCTACCTAGCTGATACACTGGCCCTTCTCTAGAAATAAAAGGGCACACACTGTCTACATGTACAGGTTGATGGCAACCAGCAGTCTGGTAGGTACATGTATCAGCTTACATGCGGACTCCTTTATCTCCAACCTTGGGCAGAAGCACAGTCGAGCAACACGCACGCTTCTAGCGGCTCCCATCGAAGTATGTATATCCCCATTGCTCTCCTCACAACCTGGACGCTAACCTGGTCGCTAACCGGCACACGGCAACCATGGCTCGTGGCTCGTCGTCGAGGTCCCACTGGATGGCTGGCGATCGGCTTGGACGGCACGCCAGAGCTGCTCCCAAGGTCAGCCTTTTGCCCATCAGTCATCGGGCTGCGGGCGAATAGGACGACAGCGTCGGCGCTTGAAAGCTTTGCTCGACGACAGCTGCGGGCTGCTCAAGCTGCTCAAGCTGCCCAAGACTGGCATGCTAGACGGAGTCATGCAGACTGACAAAGTCGTCAGGGTGCATAGTACATAGGACATGTACGATGCAGTATTACAGCGGCCAGGGACTGCGGCCGTCATGGTCAAAGGCAAAGAGACCCAGCATCTCTTTGAGCTTCGTGCTCCGAACCAGGTGCCACAAGCGTCATGTCAGGTCATCTCCCGTGCCGTCGTGGTGACTCATGCCGGTACAAGTATTGACGGTAGGGCAACGATGCTGCGGCACACCGTTCTGCCTCTTGACAGTCGTCTGTTCTCCCAGCGTGAAGCCGTACTCGACAACCAAATGGCCCTCCGGCTCTCGCTGCTTATCGTCGGAAAGGTGTCGCTCTACTGCTCGATAACAAGGACCCTGAGCAACTGCCGCCGTGGTCCCAGCACTCGGTAGTGACGGCTCCATATCTATGGCACTACCCATTGGTTCCACCCTTCGTAACCAACTGTTTAGACCTAGCCTTACAGTTAGGCCTAAAAACCCTATTCCACCCTAAAAATCATTCCACCTAATTTATATAAGAAATACAGCTATTTTATAAAGATTATAATTTTTATTATAAATACAGCATTTTTTTATAATTAAAATAGTTATATTTAGTATTTTTATAATACCCTTAAAGTCCTAAAGTCTGCTAATATATTTATAATCTTCTTATATAATGTTTTAGCCCTAGCTAAGGTTAGTAAGGGCAGTAAGTTAAGGAGGGTATTATTATTACTATTATTATTAAAAAGGGCAGGAAGGTTATAGTTACTACTAGCCTTATTACTGCTAGCCTTATTACTACTAGCCTTATTACTACTAGCCTTATTTAGTATTATAATTTACATCTCTTTTTATATAGCTTCTAGATTCTTATTATTAGTATTACTAAAGGGCCTTATTATAATATTAATAAAGCTATTAGTTAGCGCTGCTTAAAAGCACTTTAATATCTCTTTTAAAATTTATAGCTTTATTAAAGCCTATTAAAGGACTTCCTTAATATATTAAAATTATTATTTAATTATATTTATAAAAAAAACATTATCTTTATAGCCTAAAAGCTTAGTAAATGCCTTATTTTAAACTTTAAAAATAAAGAATTTATTCTTCTTCCTTATATAGTTAAGCTAGGACTTAAATATTATCCTTTTTAGCCTAGCTGCCTTTTTTTTTATATAATTAGCCTGCTATTATATTTTTAATTATTTAATCTTAAGCTTAATAACCTAGCAGCCTTTATAAAGCTAGGCCTTTATTATCTTAATTTTATTAGCCTTCTTTACTTATTAATCTTATTATTAAATTTATTTAAGACTAATAGCAGTATAAAATTCTCTAATTAGTTAAATAAGGCTGCTTTACTTCCTGCAGTATAATAATAACTTAATATAATAATTTTAATTAATTATAAAGTTATTAATATTTTTTTAAGTATAGTAGCTTTTATAATTATAAAGCTAGCTTATTAAAGACCTTTATAAGTTAATAAGCTTATAAGATTACTATATTTCTTATAAATATAGTAAATTAAAGCTAAAGCTTAATAAAAATACATATCCTTAAGTAGTAATAATAAAAATGCTAAATTAATACTTTACTAATGCTTTACTTATTAAGTAAAGACTTTAGCTAGTGCTAGTAAAGCATTAAAAAGAAAAAGATTAGTCTTTTTAAATCTAGATATAATATTATATTTTATAAAGCCCTTATTATATATAGCTTAAAAGAAAGTTAAAAAGTCTAGCTTTATAAAGGCTAGGTTCTTTTTAAAAAGTAACTTTTAAAGTATTTTTTAATAAGCAGCTTTAAGCAGCTAGAAAATGCTAATATTAAGTAGCTAAAAGATATAAATTAAATATAATAAAAATTAAATAATAAGAATATTAAATTTAATATAATATTTAATAAAGTTAAGGCTTATATAGCTTATAAAGCTATTAATAATAAGAATATAATATATCTTCTCTTCCTTAAACTACTAGACTAGTAGTATATTAAATAGTAGCGCTTATAGTCTTTTAAAATCTTAAAGCTATACTATATAGCTAAACTACTTTTTAAAAAAGCAGCTAGACTTTTAAGCCTTAGCTAACTTTTACTATAAGATTTAATTAAAATAATAAAGCTATTTTAATATAATCTTAGTATTTAAAAAGCCTATTTTTAAGTAAGTAAAATAAATATTATAATTAGCCTTAATCTCTGCCTAAAACTTAGTAAGGAATATCTTAAAGATTATTTATAGTAAAATAAACTTACTAGCAGTATTAATATAATTAAGGAGGGTATAAGACTTATAATTACTTAAATTAAGGACTTATAGCTACTAGGCCTAAGATATATAAATAATAACTATAAGAATAGTTTTATAAAGGCATTTAAGCTAAGTGCTATACTTATTTTTATTTTAGAACTTTAAAGCGCTAATATTATACTTAATAATAAAATCTTTTAAATTCTAAAAGAAGATTATAAAATTCTTAAAGTTTAACACTTTAAATAACTTCTAGGCCTTATTAACAGCCTTAATAAATAACTTTTAAAGCTTTAAATAGTTTAAGAGTTACTAATTATACTAATTTTTTAAAAGATTTAGTATTTAAAGGTCTTACTAGTGCTAAAGATTATTAATAATAGTAATAAGCTAGACCTTAGTTATTAAAAAGCCTTTTTTTTAAAGCTATATAGTATATACTATTAAGGCCTTATCTTCTTTATTTATAAGTAATTACAGCCAGCTAAATTATTAAGGGATAGGATTAAAGGCCTTTAAGAAGGAAATCACATGCTATATAGCAGTATAGCTTATATTAAATTTAATAGCAGCAGTGTAAATAAATAAAGGCTTATAGCTATAATAAGGGTAATTATAATCTTATAAAATAGCAGCAGCTGCCTTAAAGGTAATAAGGAGTTTATTTATAAAATTTATTATTAATTTTTTAGTATTTTAAGATAGATAATTATATATTATTATTTATATTTATATATAAAATAGGTGTATTATTAAACTAGCGGCAGTATAAAATGATTTTTAAAGTAGAATAGGGTTTTTAGGCCTAACTGTAAGGCTAGGTCTAAACAGTTGGTTATGAAGGGTGGAACCAACGGGTACATACTATCGGCTTGCTCGTGCAAAGGACAAGGGACAGAAGCAACTCCACTGCCGATTCCGAACCGTGTCCATTCAGGTCGCTGCCATCCTGGCTTGCTGGTCACCTCGGGCGGGATTCGGCATGCCAGTGCCTCCAGTCCACTGTGGCCGGTCCATGCAACGTCCAACATGATACTCGTACAGATTGTGCTTGGCCCGTGATTGATGTTTTCTTCTCAGCCTTCTACCATTCGCTCGTCACGTCCTCGGGCAATCACGAGTACGCATACATCCTCACTCAGGGGAGCATCTCCGCTCTACTCTACCTGAGCCGACGTGTCTCCTCCGCCAAGAGAATCGAAGAATGATGGACGAGATACAAGTACTTCCCCAGCTTCTCCATGTCCTTTTCCCTGTCCATCTCAGAGTCGACTCCACCATATCGACTTGGCATCTCCCTGATGACGCGTTCGCAAATCGAGCGCCCTGGTTTCACGAAGGGTCTATGAAGACGGAGCACATCTGTCGACTACCCGCTGTTGCCGTTCAATGCAGTTTGCATGGGAGTGTTCGTGCTTCGCATACTGTTTGAGTACACGGAAAATCCTCTGATACCTCAGACATCCTAGAATCGGCAAAGCACATGCATTTACATTCTGGCCGAGCCATGCCTTGTCGCATCTGAAACTAGATCATGGCAGCCGATTGGGGCTGTCCTGTGGCTGATGTCTGAATGAGACGAGCCAAGATACACCCCAATGGGGCCTCACCGATGCTGATTTGAATTGAAGCGTTAAAGTACATCCTTAGTTACATTGGAGATAGATAACGCCGCTCAAAGCGGACCATGTCTTGGAAGTCAGTAGGATCAGTGCCAAACCAAGTGCTGACCAGATCATATCGGCAAGTTGTTCTTGTCGCACATTGCATACATTCGCTAAGAGAGAGAGAGTTGAAAGGTGTGTCCCTTAGCTTTGAGCTTCAACGATAGGTTTGCATCCCCTTTGCTATATGAGAGTCATTGACGCTCTTAGCCGCCAGATGTCGACTCCCTTTCCAATCCGTCATAACATGATCCAGGGTATCATTTCGAGTACGGCTCGATAGAATCCAATACCAACCCAGAAAGAAAACCAAAAATCGAATCATGGAGGCGCCGGCTGAGGAACATGCTCCCACGGGCGGTCGCTGACGGGGGCTTCGTTCTGGCCCTGATCCTCGCGGACGACATGTGCGCTGAACCTCCTCGTCATCTTGATGCCGTGAAACATGAGCTCTTCCACGCTGTCGCCCTCGGCATCCCGGGGGCTGGTTCGTCCTCGTGCGCTACTGACAAGACCATGCGATCCGAGAGAATAGGTCTGACCAGATTTGCTCGTGGCTGCCGTTTCTTCTCTTCCGAGTCCAAATAGCCGAAGAATCTGCCTCGTGATGGGAACCCAAACGATCGGGAGGCCTGTATTGACTTCCCGGTCAGTACTGCTTCAGGGGGTTGGCGCACGAAGGCCCGTTGGGTTCAAGGCACATGTTATCAACGTACAAGCACACATGATCCCGACATTGGTCTCGACAAACGTCCAGCTGTTGGATACGGCTTGATAGTCTGCATGACCGTCATCAGTATGCTTCAGTGTGACGAATATACATGTAAGGTAGTCCTGGACTGACAAGTCTGATCCGAAGCCGTCGTCTGCGGCGACACGGTAATCATTCGAATCACTGTGCAAGCAATCACAAACACACCAAGGCTGAACAAAGCGCAGAGCAGCAGCTTCCTCGCCAGCGGCAGCTGAAGTCGTCGGATCTCGTTGACCGGCAGCCCGATGATCAAGATGTCCGTCACGATATTCAAGACGGATGTCGCTTTACTCCCAGCCGTCAGCAAAGACACGGATACAAACCGAGGGACTATCGCAGATCAAACCCCCTGTTGGCTCAGACTTACAATACCAGATGCTGATGGAGTTGACGCAGACGCCGGGCAAGGTCTTGCGCCAGGCCTTTTCAATGGGCTTGCAGGCAAAGACGGTCATGAGCACGGCGGCAAAGGTGTAGGCGACGGTGACGCCCACGACGGTGATGACGGCGATGCGGAACTTGTGGCCGGGGAAGATGCGCAGGTAGAGCATGCCGAGGGACGATTTGGTGAGGCATGTCGCGACCTTGTAGAGGATCTGGGCGGCAAAGAAGTACTGCTTGCTTAATCAGAATCTCGTCCTGTTCTTCCGTTGTTTGCTCGGTTTTGGTGGTGATGGCGGCGGGGGAGTTTGCCGGTATACCTTGAAGGCGAGGATTTTGTGCTCTTGGTTGATCTGATCACTGTGAAGACCGAATCCGTTCCCAGCTTCTGTTGAATTTGTCTTCGTGTTAGCCGGCGAATGCAACAGAGAGGAACAGCAACATTACCGAAACGAACCTCCGTTGTAAGCAACCGTCATACAGACCGAGAGGGCCTATGAACCAGGAAGAGAACAAAAGCAAGTCAGATCATCATCATCATCATCAACCCCATCGAGCAGTCCATTCGACGTGCAGTTACAGCACACAAGGCTTCCATACCAGCGCCACCACAATCAAGGCATCGTCGGCTCCAAACGCCTTGGTGTGGAAATGTCTCGTCAAGAGCCTCAGTACGACAAAGAAGCCTGCCAAGCAGACAAAGATGATGGAGAGGCGAGCCAGGCTCTCGCCTCGCGGGTTCGGATCCCCATCGTCGATGGCATCCCGCCTGCTCAACAACGGCCCATCGATTCCGAGATTGATCATGGCATGCGAGGCGGTGCGTGCTCCGAGAGAAGAATGTCGGCGGAAGGGCGAGTTGTCTCACAAACACGCAAATCACGACATTGTTCTCTTTGTTTCGTTCTTTGTCTGCTCGCGGCGACAAGGGGGACACGCGTGGCTTTTTACAGATACTACAAGTAATACTACTAGTAGTAGTAGTAGGTAGCATGGCCTGCTCTAGGTTTTTCTGTACGTTCCTGTTTTGGATGACGGCCTATCGGCACTTGTTCCTGTCGAGGAAGGATTGCATTCCTGTCGTTGCAATTTGCATTCCATGCGCTGGAGGGGCCGGAAAGCAGAACTACTGCCTACCCGTCTGCCACAGTCCCCTGCAGCGTCAGCTGGCGGTTCGTTTGCTACTCATAGTAGGAGTAGTAGTAGTAGTACATATGTAAATCTAGTATGAGTGGGCTATTGTACCACCTTGACGTGCTGCTGCTGCTATTACCTCAGCTCGGGGTTTGATGAATCTCGGAGTCGCATTGCCGGACGGCGTCTTCCGTCTGGTGTTTATACAGTACGACCCTGCGAGTCATGCAGGTTACTGTTGGTTCTTATATCGGAGCAGCTGTCTCTCCGTACGATGCAACATGGCCTTCTGAAAAACTGCAGAACACGAGTAGGCTGCTGTGTCATGCTTCTGCTGTTCCTGAAGACTGTCTGTCGATGCGTCTTTCTTGGCGTCGGGCAGGGCTGGCTGGATATGCTAGACTAGTCTTGAGGTTGTTAGTGCCTCCTCCTCCTTGACACATGCCAGTCGTCCAAAGACACCGGAGAAGGGTTTCCGTACACGAGCAGCTAGCTAGTAATGCAAGCATGGAACCCCAGTTTCTCGCTTCTCGCTGCATACCCCAGGGGCCAAGTCCAGGTGCTGTCACTTGGTGTGGCCTTTGGGTGTTGGGGATTGAATGTATATGTAGTCTTGAACCGGCCAATCACTCAAGAATAAAGATGCGGAACTTCAACAGCCTTTATGTACGAGGCAGTACGATGACGAGAGCAAGTTGAGGCTACGACGCAACAAAGAGGCATGGCCCCTTCTTTCCGCTCCCATCCTCGCAGTTCGAGTGAGCTATGTAGGCATGTATGGAAGCAACAGAACGAAAGGTACCCTGAAGGCATCTGCACGAAGTGATTATTACCGGCATCCTTCGGCGGCGTCCCAGCTATGGAACTCTACAGGGGTCAATCGCCAAAACGCCTGACTGAATCCTTCGACCATCCCGCCTGGGTAGTATATCTGGTCGGAATGTCACTGTGTAGGCAGGGTGATGAGAACAAAAGGCCTGAAGATTCGGCCCTCTTCCACTAGAAAACATCCTTGCTGCATCCATTCTCACTTGTCTGACAGACCTGTTGGTTCTATCGACTTGGTTCAGGATAGGACCGGCTTAGTTACCTAGCTTGGCTAGAGGTGCAGGCAGGGTTCAGGCAAACGACGAATAGGCGATTCGATGCAACTTGGACAGCGTTTGAATACCTGTCGATTGAAGGAGAGACAGGATAAAGATTGAGCAGGTGTGAGTGATACGGCTCGGGCCTAGCCGGATACCCTAGAAACCACATGTTATATTCTTCTTCTCTCGACAGGCATTGCAAAGGGAAGTCTGTGTATTATTGCATCTGGGCAGACCAATTTCGCGTCAGGAATTCTGTTTGAAGTCAAGGATACATGCTCTTCAAGTCTGCCTCTCAGATGACGAAGGTGCTGCGGTTTGATATCCATGTTAGTGAATTGCTGCTCGACGTACCAGTCTGTATCTCGTGCTCAACGAAATATGAGCAGTTGGCCTTCATTAGGACATCAAGGAAAGCCAGAGCTCGGGTGTTTGAAAATCGAGACGAGACGGATGTGGCATAAGGTTGATGTGTTAAACTCACGGTACAATGGCAAAAAGGCAAAAGGGCAACACAAACCAGGAGCAACAGGCTACTCATCCATGCACCGATAGGAAGCAAAAAATGTGAAGCAATGGTGGCATATGATTTCGTGCAAGTCTAACTGAAGAGGTGGCTAAAAGCTCGAATGCAAGGGGCGGCTGGCTTCAACTTCATCAGTGTTGTGGGCTTTGGAGAGTCCAGACTTTCTTCCTTCGATGGACACCCGTTCAGACTATAGAAGAAGTTGTCGGATTGGCTGGGATCGGTTGTTAACCGACAACTTATGATAGTCGATATGCGGCTGCTTTCTCCCACCAGGCCAGAGGGTAGCCGGAATGGAAGACAAACGAGAATGGTCCAGCACAATTGGACAGCGTTACCTACGGAAGCAGCCTCTCTCGTCTGTGGTGAACCCCCAAGTCGAAGTCATGGAGCTGTTGCTGTTCGTGCGTACCAGGTCGGTGAAGCAATCATCACAGGAACTGATGAGCTGCAGTGACGCTATATACTGGGACAATGATTGGTCGACACAGTCCGGTACAGGCTGGAGGAGCCTGGATCAGGCACATTGACCTGAAGCATGTTCAGCCGGACAGGGTGAGACGGAGCAGTCTGTCTAAATTGCGAGCTGAGAATTTGTCTGCTTGTGCCCCCCACCAACCCCGTTCACGCACATGGCAATCTGCAACTTTCATAGACTTGCTTTACCTTCTGGAAGACGCGAATGCCTCGCCTCGAATAGCAATTGAGCTGTAAAGGCAGCAATTTGGCTGCAGAGACTCCCAGCTGCAAGCAATCCTTCGCGATGCCGAATCCCGCCACTATCCCCTCGACCTGGTCCGCTTTCGGCCAGACCCCCCCAGCCAGAATTCCAGCCAAGGTTGCACCAGAGTCGGCTTCAACCCAACTGAGGGTGACATTCTCGCAAACAGAACCAAACAAGGGGCCTTGTTTTCACCACTCTCCGTTCCCCAGTTCAGTTCAAGTGGCTCGTCCAAGCTAACACAACTACTGGTTCACACATGCCTAGCAGCGATATCAACCGCATCCCCCGCATGCTTCTCCTGCTAATTCTCTGCTTCACATGGGTTAGCTTCGCAAGGACATGGGAAGCTGATTGAATTCGCCCGAACTGCAAGATGAGCCGTCGCAAGTAGAGTGTGGACACTTGGGAAGGGAGAGTCTAAGACATATAACCGCGCCGCCAAGCAGCATCTATCCGCGATTACCTTGGGATCGAGGACGTCGGAAGACTGACGGAGAGAAAACAACGACAATCGCCGTTTGCCCTTGTCGTACTCGGAATCCTCCTCGGTTGGAACAATGCAGTCGCGTTCTCTCGTCTTGGCCGGCCTCGTGGCTTGCGCTCAAGCTCTCGACACGGTTCAATACGGCGCCTTGTGAGTCTACATCTTTCCGTCGCGGATCTTCCAACGACGGCATCATCCCTCTTCAATCCTCTTCTCGCACCGTCTTTGTCACTGTTCCGGCACCTGTATTCGACGTCTATATACTAAACAAAGTTGCACAATTAATAGCTTGGCCACAGCCACCTACTCAGTCGCCAACCAGCTCGGCTTCTTCCCCGAGAACGGGCTCAACGTCGTCTACAACCAGGTCCCCAACAGCACCGCCGCCTTCGCGTCCGTCCTCAGCGGCGAATACGACATCCTGACGGCGACGGTGGACAATGCGCTCAACTACCGCTTCAACCAGAACCAGGAGGTGACTGTCCTTGGCCAGTTGGACCAAGGGCCGGACCTGGTGCTTGCGTCGATTCCGTCCATTACCAGCATCGACCAGCTGAGGGGGAAGCCGATTATTGTCGACTCGCCGCTGAGTGGGTATGCGTATCTGCTGCAGGAGGTTTTGGCTACACACGGTTTGACGCTGGCTAACAACGACTACTACTTCATGGTGAGTTGAGCAAGGATCGAGGGTGACCCCGGGAAGCAACACAATGCTCGGAGCATTCTATATCTAAACACTGTCCATACTAGACCGTCGGTGGAACTCCGTCACGATTCTCGGCCCTCGTCAACGAGGCTCTGCCGAATGGAACCGCCGTCTACGCCACCATCCTCACCTATCCCTTCACCGTCGAGGGCCAAAACCTCCCCTCGGGCCAGGCCCCCAACATCCTCGCCCGCATCTCCGACGTCGTCTACCCCATCACCTCGAGCGCCTTCACTATCCGAGAGTCGTCCCTGGCTAGCAAAACGGAGACAGCCCTCCTAACACGCTTCATGACGTCCATGTATGCCGCCAACAAGTTCCTGCTCAACCCAAGGAACAAGCGGTGTTCCATCCAGGCCCTCGTCAAGCAGCTAGGTGTCTCACAGAATGTCGCCGCGCAGGAGTATGCTTCTGCTGTCAACTGGCTATCGGGAGAGGTGTCGCCGCCGCGCAACGACTTCTCCGTCAGCCAGACGGGCATTATGAACGATGTCCAGGTCAGGTTGCAGTTCGGCGGCTTCAGCACCCCCGCGGATTTCAACTTTACTGCTGCTTTGGTTCCGGGCAAGGGAAATCTCATTGACTACTCTGTCAGGAATGTCGCCATTGCGCAGTATCTGAAGCATCCCTTGAAGGGCAACTGTACTCTTCCTCACTAGACCAAGATGGAGAGATCGGTGATTCGTCTGGGCTCTCTTCTCTTCCGCTTGAATTAGAACTTTATAGTACCTTCATAGACACAGACTTGACGCCACTTCTCGTACGCTGCAAAGCTCAATATAACGGTTCAAGCCCATCTGGTACTTCTTCTTTGTGCGGTACGTGATGCCAATACGTGATGGAAGAACTCGTCGAACAGATGATGTACACAATATACCTAGATCCCTGGTTAATTCACATGCTATGTATTGGCGACTCATTACGGCAGCATGCCGATGGGCAATCCGGGGAGTAGGAATTCATTGGGTCTGTCTGGGTATTTCTAATAGTTGGACGTTCGGATCTCGCGTCGTGGTCTTTCGTCGGCAACAAGCACTTTGTGGCATCGATAGTCACCTATTCTTTGCACTGAGCCCAGCACCATTGGGAATCAAAGGGTTCATCAAGGATACAGTATGTCAAACGAAAAGTGATATTAAATCCAGGCAGAAATTGCTTATATAAAATAAGGACTGTTCCATGGCGAGATGTCTGAGTCCAATATGCGTCTCCCTAACAGGAGAACGATAACTTGTCTGCCCTCGGGAAGTAATCCGTAACTCAGCTGTAGAATGGTGTAGCAGTATATCACTCTAATACGCGTTTGTTAGGATGTTGAAAGCGTTAGAAGGCTTCACATCCATCTAATAATTCGGTCAAGCATTTCTGGGAGACGTCTCGAGACTGCTGGCGAATACAGTTGTGCTCACAAATGTAGATGATAATATCTTAAACCAAGCTCAGGGTGTCCCACAGCCATCCATACGTGATTGATGCCATTGAACATTGAACATCGGGTTATTACAATATCGGTATTGCTTAATGTTTATCCCAGAGTAAGTCACGATACTGAACAGACATGCAACGCAGGCAATTGGCGCGGAAGTTGCCATTCACGAATCAAGACAACGGCTATTTGCCTTTATGTCGTTGGACTAACCAACATGTGTCTCAACGGAATGGTAAAGGTCATACCAACTCCGAGTGAAGCCATTCTAGGAAGCTATAGCAGTTCGGAGTATGGTGGCCTGTTGGTCCTGATGCAGCAATGAAGCTTGTCTCGGAGTTCAGACGACCTTTTAATGACTAACAACTAATTACAGAGATCGTGATATATGATATATCGGATATCACTTCTAGAAAGGTCTCCCGTGATCGAGATCTACGATTCATATTGACATGGGCATCAACTCAGAGACTTGGCACCAACTCAGCCTAAGGATGGAATACGAGGTTCGAGGCTGAGATAGAGTCAGTATTCAGAACCTTCTACTTTATCTCAGGCCTAGAATGGAAGGTTCAAGCAGTGTTGATTTTAGATTTGACCCTGCTATCATCATGAAGAATAAACGTCCTGCATCCAGTCGTCGTCGAGATTACGGGCACCTGATTACACGCCCCCAACTCTAAGACACCTACATGACTCTCGATACAACTGCCTACTTCGAAAGTTTAGCGTACATCAACACTTGCTATCATTACCATCGTTCAGGGAATGCGTGCTATCCCGTTCAGCTTGAATGGCCATCATTCAAGGTGAGTCTACAAGCAGCGAACCTCATGGCCCCTGAGCCAGCCTGCTGTGTGACAGTACAGACCGTGTAAGCGGGAACTCCATGATTCTGAATACATGCATCTACTTCGTGAAAGCGAGCTTGAACAGCCTACATGTATACAGCAACAGAAACACCGTAGCATTGATGCAGGCCCCCACGCGGAAAATGCACTCGGATACCAATACGAAAGTTCTGCGTCGTTGGACACACACAACACCCTCTCACGCAGTACGCATACGATGAATGGCCCCGGCAATCCCAGGCCCGAAAGCCGACAGTCTCAGGGTAGTATCTATGCTACTCACTCAGGCACTTTGTATACACACGCATCGGACAGGCTCACGAGAAGCGTCTCCCCGTTGAAGGCTGTCTGAGGGTGTCGAGATATATATGCGCGTATAAGTATTGCCAGCGACAGGATATAAAAAGAAAGATATCACCAGTCACGGTGGATCAGGCATCAATCTTGCCTACTCATCGGGCATTGTTGGACCAAGTCATGCCGAAAGATGAATCCTTCGAGCCTCCAGCAATCTGAACCAGCGGCATTTGTCGATTCTTTTCTCCTACCGTTGTCGTGACACTGCATCGGCATCGATTGGGTCCCAGAGAAGCACGAGGGAAGGCGACATATCTCAACAGCGTCAACAGACGTCACGCTCTGACTTCATTGGAGAGCCAAAGAGCCAAAAGCCTGATCCCTGCTTCTACAGATTTGCTGCCGCACAGACAAGAGGCTCGCAAAGAAGTGGTACAAACGGTAGCTTGCGTGTGTGTGTGTGCGTGTTTCGTTTCCGAAAAGGCCCCCATCTTCGCTTATATGCGATGCTACCTGCTTTGCATGCATGAAGAAAAAAATAACAAAAAGGACCCCAACTGGTTCGGAAGAGAGACTCATGCCTGTCCCGGGGGGGAGGAGCGCTATTCAACCGGCATAACACATTGCGCAATATGCAGCCACCGAACGGCTTGTCAAATTAGTGACCTACTTCTTCAGGCAAAGGCAACCAACAAGAAGGAAGTCGACCTCTAGTTTTTTCTTTACTCGTCTCCAAGAGGTGTCACCGAGACTCTCCTGCTCTCTTGAGGGAAGATGAGCGGCATGTGGACGGACAGGCAAAGGGAAGCAGGCCAAACCCTGCTCATTCTTCTCCCAGACGGCGGACAACACGTCACACCACTGCTCTAGACACGCCCTCCCTCCCCCTTGCACTGTTCCTTTTTGCTCGTCTTTGCGAAATGTCACCTCGATTGTCCATGGTCTTTTCTGTGTACATTAATCTGAGAGCCCGCCTGTCAGACGCCTATCGATCCATCCCGGTGAAGCGCGAGTGAACCCTTACTAACAGTAACACGACTGGCCCCCTCCAAAGAGCGGAGCGCGAGAGACCTCAACATGTACGAGTGCCACTGCTTCGCTACTTGCTCTACTATCCCTACTCCCAACAGTAAGTGCATGCAATGCAAGGCATCTCGCATTCTAAACGAAAGGGGGGGGTTCGGAAGAGGGAGGAGAAAGACGAGAAGCACGGAAAGGCTGCCAAAACACCACCCCTCCCCCAGAAACTGACACCCAGCCCTGCCGAATGGCAATTGGAGGATCAAACGTAGAAAAAAAAAAAACAGAGCACAGACTTGACAAGGAGAAACGCCATCTCGGAGGCTTCAACCAGATCGGTGCATCCCTCCGGCTTTGGCTTTGCTTCGGCCGAGCCGGCTGAGGGATAACCCGTCATCGTGCATGGACAGGCCGTGATGTTAAATGTTGCTAGACATACCTTACGAGTACAGCTAGATGTGAGCTAGAGGGAGCGGCAGGGACAAGCCATGTTCTGCCCTGTGGCTGTTTTGGTCCTAGTGATTCCATATTGACACACTGCCACACCAAGGAACAAGACAGAGGAGGACAGGGAGAGGAGAAGTATAACGGAAATGAGGTGAAAGAGGCGACCTGCCGATGTATTTTGTCCTATTTCGTGTCTTATTGTTAGAAATGGGACTAAAGGGGGCAAACCACCAGAGCCTCACCAAGCCATCAGCCATCAGCCAACCTCAGCCCTATCACTTCTTCCTTGTGGCCTGTTGTCGGTGTTGTTTCCTCCTATGATCGGATTGCTCAGCCCAGACAGGAAAAGGCACCGATACTATCAAGGGAAGAGGCAGGGGGTTGCTTGACAGATGTGAAACTTGCCAATGTGAAACCCGCAGCAGAACGTCCAACGCAAATCCGCTGAAAAAGGGACCTTGTTCAATACGCTTCGGCGATGATGACGTGAGGCTACCTCCGAACAATGATGTATGATGGTCAACATTGGAGGCAGATGGGCTTGACCCAAGCAACAAGCCAACAAGACCGACATACGGACGCTCCGAAAGGGCCCTTACTGCTTCTGGTAGGTCCTACTTGACAAGCTTCTCCTCGTTGGATCACGGAATGACATCTGGGCTTCTAGAAGGTTTCGTTCGACCCACGGACGAAGCTTACAGACCGTTTCCCCCTCAAGTGCACGAGTAAGTTGCCGTCTTGGCCATGTGCCAGTGATGACGACTAAAACGCGGGAAGAAGAAAAGGATGGGATAGTGACGGTAAGAAGGGGGTGCGTTTTGCCTCTCTCCGCTTGTCAGCAGAGATGACGGGCATGTCATTGATTCCCAATTTGGATGTCTGGCGAAACAAGTTGCCCGTGTTGGGAGCTGACTGCTCCAGCTATGGCATAATACATGCTTTGTTGCTCTTGCTGCTGCTGACTGACTGGCTGAACTGGGCCGTAAACAGAAGAGTGCAAGTGTAGACTGATGCTGCGGAACTTACCGTGCTTACTTGTACAATCGAGATCAAGAACAGATATGTTGACAGGGCAATCCCAGTCCTTTGACATGGACTACCATCGCAGTGGTCCCAGTTGATCAGGTCCCTAAGGCTGTCATTGACTCGAACCCCCAGACAACGCGAAAAGCGAGGTACTAAGTCAGCAAGGGGACACTGAGTCGAACACAGCTCCGCTACCACTCACGGCAGTCCTTCTCGGGAGTTGCAAGCTCGGGCCCCTGAACATCAACAGTTGTCTTGGCGAGTGACATGCCGGGCCTTCATGTTGCGCAAGTTCTTGCGGCAAGTGGTGACAACATCATAAGCTGAGCATAGCAATGCCGAGACGGCGATGGGTACAGATTCACATCTCTTTCTTGGCACTGGCATTCTTGCCGGGCGTATCACTTGCTCTCCTCCATGGGGTCGTGGCGATGGTCATCAGCGGGTGAGGTGGACGATATGACAACAGCCCCGGCTCGGAATTATGAATAACGTTGAGGCTGAGGCTTGGAGGCTCCACGGGATGCTGATCGAATGATGCCGAGAATGGCAACAGCATAAGACCATACGGGAGCTGTCATCGTGACTAATT